CACACACACACACACACAATCGCATTTGTGACTCAGCATCCTTGCGTCAATACTGCCCTCAGCATCGTGCCGTCTGCTTGTTAGCCTGAACGTCTGGTCGTGACTGACGCCGGAGGGAGAGAATAAAGGACAGAGGTGATGAGATGAGCAGAGATGTTGACACCTGAAAAGAGCCTGTGATTATGAAGGTTTTAGAAATAGACATTGCTGCTGCATACACACAAATAACGGATCAAGAATACACACAGGATTGTGGACTAATATGGAAAACTGATATCATTCTTCTTTTGTTCCGAAACAAAGAACCCAATCTTCCCTGATGAAATTTACTTTAATTTAAGCAAACACACATATGCTATTAAATATCCATCACTTCTTACAGCACAATGATTTTGGATCTATAACTGTTACCCCAACATCAGTCTAATCCTAAATCCAATCTATCTAATAAAGATTTAAGCATCTGTTTCTGTTGTTTCATTGGCCATGAGATTTTCACTTGTGTGTGTTTGATTTGCTTTGACTGCAGTTGGCCATAAATAAATAAGAAATATGCGTAATTGGACAGATTTGTGAGAATGAGATGAGAAGATTGAAACCAAACATATTTGTGCATTAAGTATAGAGCTGGAACAAAATGATCTTAGTTCATCCTAAAGTGTGGAAAAAAGGGGGAGATATGTGTTCTAACTATTTCTAGATGAACAACGGCCTGGCACAGGGACTTCCCAGAGTCTTGTCACAGCGAGGTTGCCAGACAACCAGCAGAGGCGCTGTGCTGAAGTGCTGAGCAGATGGATAAACTGTTTGTAATACATTGTGGGAGCTTTAGGTGTATCAGGCATATTTTTTACCTTTGGCAAGACCAGGCTAGTTGTTTCCCCTGCTTCCAGGTTTTATTCTAAGCTAGGTCAAGTAGCTTAGCATAAAACTACACAACACATAGACACAAGAGTCTGAGTCTTCTCCTCTCAATCTAAGCAAGAAAACAAATAAAGAGTGTACAGCCTGAAGCAAAGCCCAATATGGTTCGCCCCCATAGGCTATATATTTAAAAATGGACGTAGTCTGTGGGACCTCACCCATGCAGTAGTTTTCTGAAGAGCTGTTGTGAAGCTCAAAGTGCGGTGGCTCTGGCCGTCACCATCTTGGCAGTCCTGATTTGGCCTGATTTTTTAACCAGGTACCAT